CTCCAGCTAGCTCTTCTGGCTGGAGAACTCTGGGAGTTGAAGTCCACAAGTCTTAAAGTTGCCAAGTTTGGGAACCACTACTTTAAATAAATAGCGTGAAATCAAGCACACCTTGCTGCAGTATCTGTGATGACAAGGTAACCATCGATCTAATGTCTCCATGGAAACCTTTTTTCTGTCCCAACTGACTTTAATTCCTTAAAAGTCCTTGCTTTTTTTCAGTAGTTAGAGCAGTGCAAAACACCAATCGCTCTGTTATGTTTATTCGTGTTAATGTCTCTCTGAACTAAGTGTTACTAAATGTTCTTAGTAAATAAAATACAGAATGTTTGCAGCTCAGTGCTTTAGGTGATGGTTGTGTCCCATAAAAAGAGAAAAGGGTAAGTTGAAGTTTGTTAGTTTAAAACATTTGTATAGCCACCCCTCTTAAAACAACACTGAGTTGTTTTAATGCTTACAACCAGCAAGTATTAATAAGCATATTAAGTTAAGTGGATGGGGGTAATGCACCTATCTTCTGGCAAATGAAGTGCCATGATTGGCAATAGCTATCAGAGCAGTTTGTGAGAGTGCTCTCATATTTTCACAATTTCAAGCATTTTCTTTGCCCAAAAAGTTTCTACTTCTATGCAATAAGATTCATTTACAGTAACAGAACTCTTTGGGAATTATTCATAGGAAAACTGTAGCAATTCTAAATTCCATCATATTCTGTCACCAAACAAAGTTAATCTATACAACTCTGCTTTCTTCTCCATTCTGCTCTTTCCTAGGTTGTCAGGTATATGATTTTGGAGACTTAAATTTCACCCCGGTGCCCAATGATGAACTGTACAATAACCTGGTCAAGTACCCACGCTCTGTAGGATTAGCTAGCCAACTTCTGGCTGACGCTGTGAATGGAGCTGTGACAGCTGGGCATAGCTGCATAACCATTGGAGGTGATCATAGGTGAGTTAGGAAAAGTGAAACTACCATATGACTTTTATATAAAGACCATTGATGTACATGTTTTATATTTACACCCATTAAATGCTTGCTTGAAAGTAATTCATATGAATAGTATAAAAAGAGGTGTTGAGCCCTAAAAATATTTTGGTTATAGCAGTTGGTGAAATTCCACAAATGGAATCTGGCCACACTAGATCTGAGAATGATTTGGGGGACTAGATGACGTTGTATCCATTTAAAGTTATACTGTAGGACCTACAGTAATGGTAAGTAGGTAATGGCTATACTACTATTGTACTAAACAAAAAGTACTCAGGTTATTTTTAAAAAAACCTCTTTTACAATTAGAGAGAAACACACATCTGCTTCCATTACCATAATCTCAGCGAGTCTAGAATAACCTTCCTATTTCAATCTAATCGTAATATTATTTGAGGAAGCCTATATTACCATAATGCCTCTAAAATTCCAGCTGTTGGAGAGCAGTGGGCTATGGTTATCATGCTTAGCCTGAGGATCTGGTTGACACTTTAAAAAAAAGATTTTCCATCTGATACATATTGTGGACACTTTGGACTATTGACTGTAAAACATGTACTTAGCATTTTACCATCAATGAGGACTCAAATTGTTGGGAGCAATATGCTGACACTGTAAACCGCTTAGAAAGGGCTGTAAATCACTGTGAAGCTGTATATAAGTCTAAGTGCTATTGCTATCTCGGCTATCTAAATGGTGCTGATTAAGCCAATGTAGACAATGCAATAGCGTAAAGTTATATACTGATTTCACATTTATCCCTTTAACCCCTCAGTGGCAAGGCATTGTGGGCAGTGCCTTGAATATCAATGCATGTATGCATGACATGCATTGATATGAATTTAAGCGCTGTTATCTTATACATTTGATTTCCAAAGTGATTTGGTTACCCACACTTATCAGATATCCCAATTCCACTTTCCCCAATTTAGACAAGGCTGATATAAATCTGAACTGTTTTCCCTTACAGTTTAGCACTTGGTTCCATCAGTGGACACGCAAGGCAGTATCCACATCTCTGTGTGATCTGGGTTGATGCCCATGCTGATATTAACACTCCACTCACAAGCCAATCAAGAAATCTCCATGGACAGCCGGTTTCATTTCTTTTAAGAGAACTTCAGGATAAGGTAAGTTGGGATTGCACGGTGATGTAACAAGGAATGGCACTTATTGAGCTATCAGTACTTTTTTTTTTAATTGGAAGTAAATTTTAGAGTTCAGAGGTAACATCATATTTCTCCTAGTTACTAGTTTGTAGGGGCATATGTCCTGAATATCCAAGAGTGGTTTTTCTTTGGGGTATATTATTGGGGGCATAATTCATAAAAATGCAAGCACCTCTATATTGAGTTACTCAACATGATTTGAGATTGGGTGGCTATGGGTTTATCATATGGCAGTTATGGCTAACCTTTTCCAGACCGAGTATCCAAAGCACACATGCGCCCGAACCCCCCAAATGTCATGCATGGTGTGGCTCCTGTGCATGCATCCCATCTATGTGTGTGTGCCCCTCACATGCCCCCACCCCCACACACGCAGCCTTGTGCAGTGGAGCTGAACTGGGGCGATAGCTCATGTGTCCACAGAGAGGGCGCTGTGTGCCACCTCTGGCACGCATGCCATAGATTCGCCATCACGGCTATATGGCAATTCTATTATACAATCCTTTCAGAATAACACATATGTGCTTACATAGTCCTCATTTAGTGACTGCCTCATTTAGCAACCATTTGAAGTTATAATGATGGCAAAGCAAATCTGCAATCATTCCTCACATTTATGACCTTTGCAGGATTGTATATGTAAAGCAAAAGTAAGCTGAAGTAAGAAAGACCATACGCAGGGTCACATTTTTTACTTGGTGACCACTTCGCTTAACAGACCCAATTGTAGTTGCTAAAGGAGGATTGCTTGTATTTTCTACCTGTTAGGAATAGTCTGCTATTTGATTAATTGTAGCTGAAAGTTAATGGCTGTATATGCTGGTATTCCTGCAGTTTTCCTTCTAAAGGAGTGATCATCCATGGATTTATTTTCTATATCTCCCCTACCCCCAGTAATTTAAGAAGCACTTGTTTGATCACACCCATTTGAAAAGTATTACAGACTCAAGATATGGGGGAGAATTCGTTAGCTAGATTTACTTCCTTTTTTCAGCAGCTCAACATGGTTATCATTCTTATCCAAACTGAGAAAGTTAAAATAGCATTGTAGCTAAATACTCTTATTGCATCTAACTGTTGGAAAGTTATACAATCAGCTAAATCTTAATTGCCCTTAGGGCAGGGATAAAAGTAACTTGGCTTCATCTTTTTTTTAAAATGCTCATTAACCCTAGTCAGCTTGGCAATGGACTCAAAAGAGGTTTATTGAACAGCGCACACTCAGTAATCTGAAAGGGTACAGCGCGATCTGATGTTTTCATCAAGATAATGAAATTTCCAATTGTTTTGTATAGGAGTGCAATGACGTGTAGGAAAGAGGCATCTTTTGCAGCGCAACACTGCTTTCCACCCCCACATTCCTTTTTTCACCTCCCCGTGGAGCCCTCTGGCCATCAATGTAGTTCATAATACAGGTAGTCCTCGACCTATAACAGTTCATTTACTTTGAAGTTACAAAGGCACTGAAAAAAGTGACTTACAACCAATTTTCACATGTATGACCATTGCGGCATCCCCAAGGTCACATGATCAAAATTCAGATGCTTGGTAACTGACTCAGACGGTTGCAGTGTCCCGGGGTCATGTGATCCACCTTTTGTGACCCTCTGACAAGCAAAGTCAAGGAGGAAACCATCATGTTATTAACTTAATAATTGCCGTGATTCACTTAATAACTGTGTCAAGAAAGGTTGTAAAATGGGGCAAAAATCACTTAACTGTCTCGCTTAGCAACAGAAATTTGGGGTTCGATTGTGATCGTATGTCGAGGACTACCTCAACTATTTCAATATTAGAATGTTTTCAACAGCTTGTGTTTTGGAGTCCAGCAAATTTTATGAACAAGATCAAGTTCTTTTATTGGGATTGTTGATATCCGTTTGGCCTGGGCTGGAGAGAAAAAAAAAGGGGAAAAAATGTGGTATCTTTAATCTATTACAAGTTACCGGTATTTTTGTGGAAGAGAAAATGTTATGACTGCAGCAATATCAACTAAAACAAGTCCTCTATAACAAGATATTGGAGGTAGGGGCAGGAGGGACTATACTAAAATCATGTTGAGTTGGCACGGTCATGGCACTCGAATATTTCCTGGACCAGTTTTTGAAGGACCATGTTTTCCCCTTATTTTGAAGGTGCCAGTGCTTCCTGGATTTTCCTGGCTGAAGCCCTGTCTTTCACAATCAGACATTGTATATATTGGCCTGAGAGATGTTGATCCTGCTGAACAGTAAGTACATGATAGCTAGTTTAAATGAATACTTATTCCCTTCCTCCCAATTTGTGGCAAGAACATTGCTATAGTCTAGAGTGACTGCAAGGGTATTTAACTTTAACCTTTCTCTCAAAACAGTTATATTCTGAAGAATTATGGCATTCAGTATTTTTCGATGAGACATATTGATGAGCTTGGAATCCAGAAAGTGATGGAAAAAACGTTCGACCATCTTTTGGGAAGGTAATATGTTTTGAAGAATATTTGTTAGGCAATTAAATATGCAAAAAACCTGATCATTAGTAACCATTAGCCATAACCTACCGATTACTAGGATAAGTGACCTATTGCAGGACAACTGTAAACACAAGTATTATCATCTTTTGTCAGAGGGCCAAGACCAATCCATCTGAGTTTCGACATTGATGCCTTTGACCCATCACTGGCTCCAGCAACAGGGACAACGGTCTTAGGTGGATTAACATATCGTGAAGGCATGTTCATTTCTGAGGAAATACACAACACAGGTAAAAACCACTTATGCATTTTTTTAAAAAAATGTGGGTTAAGGTAACAAGAATCACAAAAATTTTAATTATATGCTTGCAGGATATCTGTACTACAAAAATATTCAGAAATGTTTAAATCAAAATGTTAACAAAATAAATCTAATAGAAGCTTGGATTCTTTTATTCTCTCTCTCTCAATAATTCATGAGGCATCCTGGACTGAAGACGACAATAGCAGTGTTTTTCGAGCTTTCAGATGGCACCTAATTTAGTTTTCCTAGTTAATAAAACAAAACAAAAATTACAGGCTGTGCTGCCAAATTTTAGCATTAAGCTATATGGAAATGTAACTTCGAGAAGACAGCGTTCCCAGTTCATCCCCCAGTTGTTATCATTACTCCATTTTTTATTTGTGTATTTATATTACACTTCTCCAACCTTCTTGACTCAGTTTAAAATTATCAGGGAGTTTTAAAGACATATATCATATTTTAAATATTTAACCATTCATCTGCTCCTGGCAACAACAAAACATAGAAAAAGGAAATAAAACTATTGGAAATTTCTATTGCTCTGGATAAAAGGAGGGTTGAAGTACGATGCAACATGTAAGATCTGCTATTTGGCTGAAGAGATTTTTTTTTTAAACACTGCAAATTTCTGTCTCTTGCTAAATAACTCACTGCCTTCACTTTCTCAGGCCTGCTTTCAGCTATGGACCTTGTAGAAGTAAATCCATTCCTTGGAGCTTCACAGGAAGAAGTGAAAGCAACAGCTGGTTTGGCAGTAGATGTGATCGCTACAAGCTTTGGGCAGACGAGAGAAGGAGCACACATTGTTTTTGAAAATCTACCAACACCTAGTTCACCGGATGAATCAGAAAATGAAGAGCAAGTTCGGCTTTAGGATCTCCCAAGTGGCAGCAGATGCCACACAAAGGGCATTATGTATAGTTCTGCTGATCTACTAAACAAGTGGACAGAACAAAATGAAGTGTACTACATTCTGAAGTCTTCACTCAGCTTTGGAGATTTTTTTTTCAGTTGGGAAGTCAAACTGTGCCACAAATTAATCAATATCTTCAATATAAATGACTATCGTATTATATTGCAGATGTAGTTCAGTTTGTCTTTTCTCCAGCCACATCTCCTCCCAGTAGCACTGCACCATTCTCAGGACACGTCAAGACTGACAAGCCAGCACTACATTTTAAACGTAGTAAAATACAATCCATCTTTTCAATCTGTAGTCAAACAAGCTATTGCCAAGGAATGTCCATATAGTGGATTGAAGACAGCAAAGGAGAAAAGCTGCATCTCTTCAAGCCTTAGTGAAGAACTTGTAGTAGACAAGACCTCCCAAGATGATTACCTCCAGGATGATGATGACAGAGAGTAACAATTTATTTGTCATAAGCCTAGAAAAAAATAGACATGACCTTTGTTGGTTTTTTTAAACTGCAAGTCATTCCCTTTTATGGAGTTATGGTGACCACAGAGACCATCCAATTTCATTTTAGGTAAAGCAAATCCTTTGCATGTTTATTCAAAGGAAGATCCCTTTATGTACTGCGGATTGTAAAGATAATCCTAGGTAAATAGGTACAGAGTTACAGCCACTGTGGAGAAAATTAATCATGGAGAAGTACAGTATTAACTATTTTTATTTAAAACATCATGGTTCCTGAGATTCCTTATAAAACATCAAAATACTCTTGCTAGGAATTATAGACCCTCCCTGGAGAAAGTATAAAAGAATAGAGGCAGAATTATACTTCATTCCTAACTGAAGAGGTAAAACTGTAATAATTCCAGTTTTTGGCAAATGGCACGAAGAACTGAAAACCTGATAATTAATGGCTTGAATATTGTTTTTAGTACTTCCCTTTTGTATAGCCAGTTCTTTCAATAAATAATAAACCTTACTGAATGGAAGCCCCTGAGTATTTTTTCCCCTGCTAGCATGCTAAAAACTGCTGCTGTGGATGTGCATGTGGACATGAGGGAACTACAGAAGAATCCTTTGAGGTCTGACTGCTCAGACCTCTCTCCATGGGGCCTTAGTCTCCGAAAGTGGCCAATATTTGTAACCAGGCGTCTTGGAGAGCTTTAAAGAACAATCCAGCTAGTCACTTGACAAGATGTAGAAATTAGACCTTTCACAGCATTTTATATAGTACAGGCAATCCTCTACTTAATGACTACAATTGAGCCCCAAATTTATGTTGTTAAATGAGACACTTGTTAAATGAGTTTTGCCCCATTTTATGACTTGCCTTGCCATAGTTGTGATGTGAATCACTCCAGTTATTAGCGTGGTTGTTAAGTGAATCTGATTTCCCCACCGACTTTGCTTGTCAGAAGGTTACAAACCGTCATAAATATGAGTCAGTTGCCAAATGCCTGAATTTTGATCACGTGAACAGGGGCGGGTGCTGCAAAGGTCCTAAGTATGAAAAACTGTCATTAAGTCCCCCTTTTCAATATTCTTGTAATTTTGAACGGTCACTAAATGAATGTAAGCTATGGACTACCTGTACTTATATAGCTTATTTTCTTTTGTTTCTTCCATTCTGAGAGGTGAGAAGCATCTTAAATTTAAGGCATATCCTATTTTACTATTTTCTTCTTCTTCCAAAAGGAGGGGAGAGGGAAATCAACCTACAGTATCCACTTAAAAGAATATTATAGTTAGAGAAATATTTGTGTTCATGATAGGATTTTTATCTATCATTTTCCTTTAGCTATCTGGCAATCACTTCCTGTATGTGCCGCATATGAAAGGAGGAACTTGCAAAAAAGCCTGCTCCTTCTCTCTCTGTAGCAAAAGCTAAATTACCAGATCTGCGAAAATCCAGATGACGCCTAGATGGAAACAAAGAGGTACATTCTTGCTGCTTTCTGCTCATTGTCCAGTGGTTTGCAGCCTAGACATGGTAGCCACAGCAAAGCTTGGATTTGTTTAGCATCCAACTCACTAATGCTCCTTCACTGTTGGACTTCATATTTAATGCACCAATGTCTAAAGGTGCACCAGCCATACAAATTATAACTCACTCACTCACTCACTCACTCACTCACTCACTCACTCCTAACTACATAGACCTACAAATTGCTGAGCTTGACCCCTGAACATTGCCATCTTTCCCACATCTATATATATAAAAAAGCCATTCTTTCATAGGGACATCGAAGGTAGGCCAAGCCTCTACTGAATGAATGAGCTTCACAAAAATCCCAAACATACGAAACATTCTGATTCAGGGCACATTTTAAAGCATCATTTCACCAACCTTCTTGACATGGAACGTAGGATCTTCCGACTTCTGCTTAAATTTTCATTTGTGTTTACTAACTGTAAAGAAGAAGGAAAACACAATGAACTCCCTCCTGCTTGGTAAGGGATTAGGGTGCCACTTTTGAAAGTTCAGAAGCATTATATGTTAAGCAGAAAGCCAAACTTAGAGAAGGATATTTGGCCTCTGCTTTAAATAAGATAATGACTGGAACATATCTAGTCAGCTTAACACAGAACGACCATAACGTTCTGTAATAATAATTTTAAGAAGTATGACACACCCCAACTTATGTATTTCGGTATTTTTTCTTTTATGCTAATAATCTGAATTATGTTTCTGATAACAAGACCAAACAACACACTATCCAAGGTAAAATCTTGGTCTTTTCCTGAAGGAGGAAAATATTGATAGTGAATCACAAAGATATCAGATAACCAAGCAGCAGCATTTTGGGATTGGTTAAGATTCCATCTTCTGTGTCAGAGCAGAGACCATGACTAAGTTTCATTATTGGACATTAACTATGTATTTATCTATCTAGTTTCTGAGATTTCAGCAGTATATTAAAAGAGAAATCTTATCTTTAAAATAAATTAAAACATATCTAAGGAAAATCAAACCCAATCTCAAAAAAAACAGTATTTGATTCTTTAGAAAAAGTAGACCCGTTTTATTGCCAGAAGAAAAAATATTCTTTAACTATATTGTTACATTAAATAGTTGTCTAAGCTAAATATTGCTATTTCATTGCAGTCTCCCCTCAGCATTATCCCCATCATGAGAGAGAAAAGCCCCACAGAAAAGTGATACAGGAAGAGAGAATTGCTAGGAGAGTGCAAATATATATTTTTTCATAAAATCAGAGAAACCTATCTGTTGATAGGAGAAGAAAAACAGATAGTTCTGTTCCAGTGGCATTTTGAAAACTTACTCTGCCTTTGGTGCGTTCCAGCTGTTCACGCTGCCCACCTAGTTCTTCAATGATGTCACTACCAATTTGATCAGTTTCTGCGGCAATTTGGTGTGTCCGATCCAAGCTCTGAGTGGCTCGATTCAAGCTTTCTGTTCCCTGAAGCAGTAACACCCTCTGAGACTGCATCTGAGTCTAAGAGACAATTAAGACCTATTTAAAAAGGCAGAAGGGATATTTTACCTTTCAGTATGTTCTTCCCTGAGAGTGGAGTTTTAACTCATGCTAGCAATGTAAAAGAATAAGAGAAGTTTCCTATTGATGAGAGAAACAGCCTATTTTTTTGAGAAAATATTGGCAAAGACACCGAGGTGATCCCATTCCCTGTCCAAATTATCTCTGATGACACCTAAATTTTTAGTTTGATTCTGCAATCAAAAAATGTCCCCTATACGACAGCAGAAACTATGCATATAGGTTATTCACACACACACACACACACAAACACACTGATTCAAGCAAATGCTATCAACATTTTCTTAGAGTATTTACAATCAGTTTCCCCCTCTTTCAATATAGATCATTCAGCTATTTTCTTAGGGGAGTGGCCCCCAACATTTTGGCACCAGGGACTGGTTCCAAGGAGACATTTTTCTGCGGACAAGAGAGAGCGTGGTTTTGTGTGCTTCTTGCATCCCACCAATGGGGCTTTGCTTGTTTATGTGGCCCAGTTTGGCATGCCACAGACCAGTGCCGGTCCACGGATTAGGGTTGGGGACCCATGTCTTAGGGGACATTGATTCAGACAGATATTAATAGTGTGGTGGACCTAGACACTATACAGTTTAAATGGCATCAACCTAGTAATTTGAATAGTGATGAATTGTATAAACGCTTGCAGTAATAGTCAAATGGCACAGAGCGTATTAAAAATGAAATTTTTGTCAATGTACTACATATTTGACTTAGTAATCTTCAAGATGTGTGACTACTTCATTAGACATGCCAAAACCTAGTGTACTTACTACTCACTTCCCTTGAAAGGGAAAAAGAAAATGTTTATGTAATAATTTCAGTAGAATTTTTGAAAAATACCTAAATTAAAGGCTTTAAAACAAAACAAAACAACAAGACTGCTTGTACTGGATCAGAAACAGGGAAAATGCTGGTCCTCCAGCTTGTGCCTTTGGTCAGTCACTTTCTCCACTCAATGTACCTTACAGGTTTGTTATTATGGGGAAAATAAGGGGGATTCTAAGACATCTTAAGTTGTACAAAATAAAATCAGGACACAAATCAATCAATTACAAATTAAAATACACCCCAGTTTAGCGATAATCAGCATATGAAAGATGCATCTATTCTACACGCTCACGAGCAGCACTGAACAGAGAAATAGCTTAATAAGCATTGCAATGTTTATATTATTTATAGACTGCTGCATTTTATATATTACAAGACTTAAACAGCTGTCATAAATACATGCTAGTTGCCAAGAGTCTGAATTTTGATCATGAAACCATAAGGATGCTGCTATGATCCTAAGTGTGAAAAATGAATGAGCCACTTTTTCAGTGTCATTATAAATAGTCCCTAAATAAATGGTTTTAAGTCGAGGACTACTTGTATTATCAATGATCTCTCAAATTTGGAAATGAGAACTTGGTTCTGTTTTCTCTTAATTTGCTAAATACTCCAATGAGCTTAAAAAGACCTTTACTATTTGCAGAATTTTATAAGCAGCAAAAATCCCTGAAATCCAGGAATAGCAATAGCATTTAGGCTTATATACCACTTCACAGTGCTTTACCAGCCCTCTCTAAGCGGTTTAGAGTCAGCATATTGCCCCCAACAATCTGGGTCCTCATTTTACCGAGGGATTTTTACTACTGCATTTACTATTCAACTAAGCCCTCTTATTCTTTCTTTTCTTTATATCCCCTCATTTTTTCCAAGAAGAATCTAAGCTTGCTTCCAATCTACCGAGGCATTAAGGGCAGATAAACTTGTGTGTTTTAATAATTTTGTATTTTCTAATTGTTTTCCAAGTCAATTTCTCTCTTCTCCTATAACTCTTAAGTTTTCACCATGAGCTCAAGCACCAGAATATAAATAAGATAAACATTGCAATATTTATTAAGCTATTTCTCTGTCCAGTGCTGCTATGTACCCCTTCCTAAATAAAAACCTCAAGTATGTTGACATCAGAACAAACTCTAAAATAATTGTATATCTAGTACTTACTCTCTGCTCATTTTCCTTAGAGAAGATACCAAACTTTGAATTCCCCCGGGCACTCGGAGCTACTCCCAAATCCGTACTTTTCATTTTCCTATGAAATGTGCTAAGGTCTCCTTTGTAAGTTCTAATTTTAATCATCATTTGATTGCGGAAGGACACGGGGGCATATTTCAGTTCTTCTTCCATTTCCTTTAACTAGAATAAGTTTTAAAAGTAAACATTTATCAAAATCCTTGTTACATTTATATTTGAAACATGAAATCAAGACTGAAAATTATTAATTTACCAGAAACATCACATCACAGACCTAATTAAAAAAAACTACCCAAATTTCTTATGAATCATATTTCACTAAAATATAAAATACAATATATATAGTAATTCACTTCATTTCTAAAATAGGTATCCTATGTTTTTATTTTAGAAAAGTTACCCTTTGCCTGACCAAAACTGAGCTTATTTAGAAATAGCATTCTGCCAATTTAAATACATTTCATGCAATGACAATAAAAGCCAAAAATGGAGAAAATGTTTTAAGTATTTTCATGTTACTTATACAAAGCAGTGAAGAAAATATGCTTCACAAAAGGTTATAAAAGGTTTATAAAACATATATCTGTTTCAAATGTAAAAAGCTACAGTGTGTAGGAAACCACCAAATACCTCGGGCAAAAGGCTAGATTTCAACCATTTCCCTATCTTCTTCCCTATCTTTTTATGAAAAAAATTAACTACTTTGAAGTGAGCACAGCTAAACACAGTGTTGTTACCATTCTGATAACAAAAACAAAGACCAGACTCAAAAGAATATTTCACATTGCTCCATAGCAAACTTCATTGTAAATAAATACAATGCAATCGTCTGTAATGCAATTATCTTTGTAGTGTTTTAAAGATAAATAGTTATCTTTAAATCCAATTTAAAAAAAATTAATATTCTAGATGAATTTAAAACTTTTTTTTAACAGAAAGCAGATTAATTTGTTCAAATGGGTATTGCAAATGCTGGCTTTGGCTTGTCTGAACAAATCATGAAATGGGAAGGAAAGAAATGACCGTTGTCTTACCTGAACGGTCCTTCTATGGGTGCTGCGAAGGGAATCCAATCATGGGTTAACTTAGCCTTCTA